AGAAAGAAAGAAAGAAAGAAAGAAAGAAAGAAAGAAAGAAAGAAAGAAAGAAAGAAAGAAAGAAAGAAAGAAAGAAAGAAAGAAGAGAGAAAGAGAGAAACAAGGAAAGGAAGGAAGGAAGGAGACAGAAAGGAGAGAGAAAGGAAGGGAGAGGGAGGGAGGAAGGAGAGAGAAAAAGAGAGAAACAAAGAAAGAGAAAAAAGAAAGAAAAAGAAAAAAGGAAAGGAAAGGAGAAGAAAAGAAGAGAAAAGAAAAGGAAAGAGAATAGAAAGGGAGAGAAACCTTTTTCTGTTCAATTTAATAGATAACTCTTCAAAATATATGTCAGTTTCTGCTTAATGAATTGCAGACCTGGAGTTCTCAGTTCAAGTTCATTTTGATCATTGTCTTATACTGGGTTTACGCAGAAGCAGGCCCAGAGATGAGATTTGAAGGCAATGTTGAGGGAAGTAAAAAATAAATAAATAAATAAACACTGGTAGAAAATGGGGAGAGAAGCAGAAAAGGGAAAACAACACCATCAAGCCAGTTATAGGCAGGGGACCTTCTGAAGCTCCATCCTCCTGGGAAATAGACTGGGAGGAACCCACGTGTAGAGCACGCACTGCACCAGGAAGCCACTCAAACCTCAAGGGAGGCAGGACCCTACATGCACCAGCTGCACCAGCTAATACTCCAGGCCACCTCTGAGGACACCCATTTCCCGAGCCTGCGGAACACATGGGTAAAGGTGCTTTGCTGTCATGGAAATAAGACTTCCAGGAATGAACTATTGGGTGGGTGAACACCACTGGCATGGTGGGAGCAAAATACAAAAGTGCCTCCTTCAAGGCCTGATAGTCAGCGGTGTTTCTGAGCACACTGGTGAAAGAGTGAGCATAAGAAACTGCAGAAATTTCTCATTTGACACCAATTTCTTGAACCTTTCCCAATAAATCAGAATGAGTTTTGTGTCATCTGTCAATACAGTGATAGATTGGGTAACAAACTCTTCAGGCCCTCCTTGTCATTGATTTGTACCTTTGTGATTTTATATAGTTTGTGTTAATTAGATGTTTGCCCCCCTGTAGAGTTTTAAACATATAATCTTTCTCCTATAATACATGGCTTGACTTTACTGATACAACTTCAGGAGTGACCTGAAAAGGTAATTGTTCTGATATCCGTTTACTGCCAGAAATAAATGCTATCAGTTCACTAAGGTTATAATTTTTGTAAACCCAACATTTGCTAACAACATCATACAATTCACCTTGTCTCTAAGACGTGCTCACACACCCAGCTTATTTTAAAAGGCAGTAACAAAATGATAGTGCCTTGAGTTGAGTCTGTGAGCAATTAAATAACAAATTTTGAATTAACATATGATAGATATACAGGGGTCAGCACAAAAGCAAGCAAAAATTCATTTTTTGTTGAACACAGGAATAAATGCAGTCCATTCACTACTCCCCTCGTTTTGAAATCTGTGCTTTTATTGACAGAATGTGTGGAAACTGAACCCCTAGATTACATATTGCTTCTCTAATTTCCACCACCCTAAATAAAACTTTTTCTGAATTTCTTTTGGATGTGATAATTCCTTTTTAAATTGTGACAAAATGATATAAGTCGAAAAGTGTGTCTTGACCATTTGTTTTAAATGTGTTTCAGGAAAAGACAAGATATGTGAAAATTTAGACCTAACTAGTTTTCATAAAAGTTGTAATATAAAGTAGAGAAAAGCTATTTTCAATAGCTTTTTTTAAAATACCAGTAAGCATTTTTAAATACCAATAAGCATTTTCCAAATATTTGAAAAATAGAGTCCAAAAGGAAAAAGAAGTCCTAAAATAATAGGATTTTATTCATACAAGGTCATGATAGCCATAGTCATTTTGAGAGAAACATTCTCCCAATACTCTGTGAGACTAACAAATCAAAAAACAATACATAAAAGATTACCGAGGAGATCAAATATATGCAAAAATTCTGAAACTTTTTACATGCAATTCACTAGGAGAATACATAAGACTATTCCCTCTCATGAGGCGACTATTTTGATAAATACTCTTGCACTTTAGATGAAAGATATTTTGAAATATTCAACCATCTTTGCTTTCTATAACCAATAAATAATATTTGGACAGCTACTTTGATTGTTCGGGCAAGCACAAGGCATCTTCTGCAGAGTGAACACGAACTTTGTATGCATCACCCATGCAGAGAGTAAGCACGTGCTTCAAATGAATACATTCATATCTCTCTTTATACATCATCTTCTATAAGCTTGATTATCCATAAATCATCACCAAGAAAACTAATTTACTTTCCCTTTAAGAATAGAAATTAATGTGATCGCATGGAAATTGGAATAGACACCTGGAAATGGGAGAACTCCTATCTGCTGAGGTAAACAGTGGGTCCCATCGCCGGAGGAGCTCAGTCCTCCGTGGAAAAAGCCTGGGAGTCTTCTGGCTGGATTTCTTTTTGCAACAGTCTTATTGCTAACAACGTAAAAGCCTTCCTTCTATGGTATTATTGCTTGTGAAGAAAGGAAGATGAACCAAATTTTTAAAAGTTGTACAATATCTTTCAAAAGCCATTACAGCCAAAAGCCATTACAGATTAAAACAGAAGTAAACAGAATAAAATTTCATATACAGGTAGAAAATTGTCAAGAATCAGGTGTGATGAACTATAGTAGCAAACCAGAAAGAAAAATCATATGTAATGACAATTATATATTAATACAGGAAAATCCCTTAGATGCATATCTAATTCCATGAGCTTTAGTAAGTGGTGAGCGCATTAAAGATATAGACACTCAAGAAATTTTGAAAGGAAGAATACTACTCAAAGAGACTTGAGTACGCAGAATTTCTTTATATAAATGTGTCTAATTTTAATCTCTCAAAATCCAGGAGGGGAACTAGATGAAGAAATTTTAATTTAGAGAGCCAAATTAACCTACTCCTAGAAACAAACTGAGTTCATGGAACTCAGAATTTGAGTTAGACTTAACTCTTCGTTCCGGTATCCCACAATGGCATGGCATACTTACCTGCAGAGAAGAATATGTATGACTATTGACAAGCCAGAAGCTATCATTAGGGATAAGCTGAAAAAAATAAGAATAGATTGTAACTTTTACATAATAAAAACTGAAAATAGTAAAA